GTTATCTCATTCGTTCTTTCCGTATAGCGGATTAGACTGGCGAAGTAGCCATGCCGTGCATGCGTATGATACTCGCAGCCTTGCCGAGAGCTGCTCTCTTGGTCGCGCAAATTGGGCAGGCACGTGTATCCCGCCACAGGCTTGGAAGAACCGGACTCCTCTGTGAACCTCTGTCGAACGCCACCAATCTCAAGCATCGTCTTTACGCTGAGATAAATACAAGCAGCTTCTGCGTGAGCATCACGATCTCGCCAAGAAATTAGTTTCATGGCCAGAGAAGAGTAAATGAGTTAGCTGTGATTCCACACACAAGATCCGTAATCACGCACGCACAGCCACGCGCATGAACATTGTATGTTCTACACAATTAAATGCATCGCGTCAGTGACCAAGAATTTCATGTTCTACGCAAGAAATTATATCACAGTCACCCTATCATTAACTGACCACAGTGCTTCCACACTATAAATACCTACAGCTTCTGCCATACGGTGACTGCTTTGCCATCTCTCTTCTGCTCGTTAATTCCACCATCCAATCATTAACAATACACTTACAACATTATGGCGCGTATGCAATAACACACCAGCGCAAGATGGTGCAATCTGTATTTAGCTTATTACTCATTAGGATTGTCCATTCATAACCTCAAGTGGCACACAGGATCACTTTTACCACAAGCCTAGCAATTAGCACAGTACTAGTTAGCTGCTGGTATATTCCACAATTACTATAGTATCGCCATCGCACTTAGCCCGTGTTATACATAATTACTTTTCCAATACTCACCCAATAGCACGTAGGACGTATTACTTGAAATTACTTATGCCCGACATAGCTGAATATTATATCTTGGAGACAACATATAGTTGTACTCCTACTTCTAATTTATACCGTACCGTTACTTTCCTCTGATGACATGCACGTAGTTGAGGATCCACCCTACGTTCTTCTCTTTATTAGTTATTCAGCACATCACATGTGTCTGTGAATGCCGAATATGGATCAGAAACCTCTAAAATGTGTAATGTAAAAGTATGTCAGGCTTTAATGTCGACTCAACCGTCATAGTCAGCCGGAGGACCGAACGCGAGGCCTTCATATCTTTGGCGCCCTCTGGTGTCATTGGAGGTGAGTTGGCTTCGCTGCTCTTGGTGCTTATGATGTACACAGTTCTTTCTCCACATGTCTTCATAATTAATTATTAAATTATGTTATTTATTAATTATAATAAACCAAGGAGTAATTTTAGCCACGTTGACTTTGCGGAATTCCAGTTCTATGATCACTCTTATTAGCCTTCACCTTGGCTGTGCATAGTCTAAGCAGTGTGGGAAGGCGGTAGTCGTTTATTACATGCCGTTATTATTAAACTCTATCCGGTTTAGTGTGGGTAATTATATTAAATGTGCAAAAGTAGAATTTATATGGGAACTCCCATTTAATATACCTCTTATGATAGAATGATATATGCATATAAGTTTGATCCGAAAATAAAATGTTTCAGATCTGAAAGTCTGACATCCTGTACTGAGAGATGACGCTATCGCTTCTAATGATCGTCAGTCATTTGTTTTTCGAACTATTTGTCCACCACATAATAAATAACCTAAATATCAATTATACGCCTTGTAAGAAGAATCTAAATACAATATTTAACAACGTAAATTCATTTTTACATTTGGTTATGATTGAACTAGATATTGATTAATAACCATTTTTGATAACTGAAATAAATAGCTAACTATGTACGTCTCACTAACAATGACCAGGTGAGGTAGTGTTCACTAACAATGACCAGGTGAGGTAGTGTTCACTAACAATGACCAGGTGAGGTAGTGTTCACTAACAATGACCAGGTGAGGTAGTGTTCACTAACAGTGACCAGGTGAGGTAGTGTTCACTAACAGTGATGAGAGGTGGACAGGATGACTTGCCTGAGCAAGTATCCACTCATGCCATCGATCCTGCTTCATGCGTCTGCCCTAGTGATTTGACTTATCTCATGAAATCACTTATGTCCAACACTGTGGGCAAGAGTGGTTGGGAGGAATGGAGGGACGAGGCGGTTGATTGTGGGAACTTGAAGGAAAATGTCCGTGGAAAGCATTTTTTGTGTTTGAGACCTAAACGTGATTGTGTCTGCGTAAATCTGCCATTATTCCGATAATTCATTAGCCGTCATTTACTTGTCGTTGCAGAATAAGGCAAAGGTGGAAGATTGCATGAAGATCTTCAAGAACTACATAGAGAACAGAGGTTCGGTTCTTGCACAGACGACAGAGTTCCTTCCCTACTATGCGTTGCCGTTCGTTAAGAATCCTGCCAGCCATCCCAGCTTTGACGTCCTATTCAAGGTACAGTCAGATGTGCTGTGTGATTTGGGCCGATATGCATTTAGGAAAGTTTACGCAATATACGTTTTGGTGAATGCGCTGTTATGAATATCTATTCTTTTGTGGAATCGTCGTAATTTTGAATTTCAAATTACTTTACATGTGTTAATACGAGTACTCTTGTGACAAATGTAGGTGTTTAAGAGAAAGGGTGACCGAAACATAAATATTAATTACATCATGCAATAATCGAATTTATACAAGCTATATATGGAAACCAGAGAATATAGATGCTTGATCCATAATACTGCAGTGGTAGCCGTATTCCCTACATTGCAGTATGTTTTGTGTGCTGTCGATGTGGTGGTATAATGGGTGTGTTGCTTGCGTGTGCGTGACAGGAGGATTGGTCGAAGCATCAACGTACACAGCTGGAGAGTCTTCTTACCTCGTCCATGTGGGCTCATGCGCAGCCTCCAAAACTAGTCGAACTATTCATGAAGAGCCTGAGCGAAAAAAAAGGTTTGTCATGTTGAAGTTTAACATTGCTTATACAACAGAAGCAAGAGTTGATGTTCGTTAAGCCACCAGTGACGACAAATAAGCGGCCTGCGTGTTTTCTGTTTAAAATTATTCGAGTGTGCTTGACCAGTTTATTTTACTAAGCCCTACCTCACCGATATATCGTTAATCCTCAATTTTAACAGTAATGAGTCAGCTGTGACAGACTATATTAGCATTCATTACGAACACCGAACCCTGCAGATCAGAACAAGCAGATGACTGAGCTCAGACACAGTCCGTGTGTGTGTCGCCCATCCACGCATCGTCGTCTGTAACGTGTTTGTTGTTGTTGTTGTGTAGATCTGAGCAGGCAGACGAGCAAGCTGAACAACAGTTTGTTGTTGTTGTTGTTGTTGTTGTGTAGATCTGAGCAGGCAGAGGAGCAAGCTGAACAACAGTTTGTCGGTGGCCGAGCGTAACCTCAGCATCGCGCTGAAGAAGTACAATCGCCTGCAGATGGACTACGAGAATCTTATAGAGATCAGCCACGAGCTCGTCGATCAGCTCGAATCTACCGTCAAGGGCTTACCGGTGAGTGCACCTGCTACGCCTGTACCCATGTGATGAGTGAGTGAGTGAGTGAGTGAGTGAGTGAGTGTGTGAGTGAGTGAGGGAGTGAGTGAGTAGTTGGGTGTGTGGGTGGGTGGGTGGGTGTGTGAGTGAGTCGGGGAGTTAATGAGGAAATGGGTGGGTGGGTGGGTGTGTGCGTGAGCGATTGAGTGTATGTGTGCATGCGTGAATGAGTGAGTGAGTGAGTGAGTGCATGCGTGCATAAGTGTGTGCATGTGTGAGTGCATACGTGAGTGAGTGAGTGAGTGTGTGTCAGTGAGTGCGTGCGTGCATAAGTGAGTGAGTGAGTGTTAACCTAGGTTAGCGTGAGCGAGTTCTGAGCCGTAGCAGCAGCGTGATGTCGTCGTCGTCGTTGTTTGCACGTAGATTGAACCCGACTATCTGAAGCAAGTCTGTGACAAGCTGTTTCAGAGCAGGACCATGAGGAGCAAACGCAGTTCTGATGTGTCTGAGAATGCACCAGGAACTCCCCGCTCCATACAGTCAGGGTATGCAGCTACTCCAATATTATCGCAATCAGTCACAGCTGTCAGTGCAATTTCAGTGCAACAATGGATATATGTACGGTTTCTATTGCATGCGATGGAGTTTGCATGGACATTAGATGTGTTTTTCGCGAGATAATATAGTAGTGCCGCATGGCTGTAGCGATGCTGCTAGTGATTGACTGTGCATGTAACATTATCTCTGTGTATGTCTATATTCGTGATTGATATTGACATGGTGAATGTTCGTGTCTTTACAGGAATGATAAGTTTGTGGAACATGTGCCACTTGATTACAGCAAGATGAAATGCGATCTAGGCGGCACTAACGACAGGCGAAAAGCTCTGCTGCTGCAAGCGCTACGATGGGTAAGTAACTAATAATGACTTCAGCATCATGTATGAAAACTGCAGGAAATCACATTTGGGACTAACAGGGTTTACTAGAATCCCACCACTCCACCACAGAGTCACCGCAGTAGACGTTAGATGAGCGCTGTCGCTATGCGGCACTTGTTTTATTATTGCCTGCAATAGGTTAAAGTATAGAGCAAATATATTTTAAATCAGGGTATTCTACATAGGGTGGTGCGGCCAGTTATGGGGTGAATGAGGGGGAGGGGGATAAATAATTTTTTTAAGTAACCTGTACATATTCGATAGTTAATTTGCTAAGATAGTTTATATGGAACACTATTAGTTTAAATTCAATCCAGCCACACTGATAAACAGTAACCATAAATAAATAACCACATAAGGAAAGAATTCTACAGTCAAACTTGTGTTAACGGTCTACTTTACAGTATGGCTACATGTTCATGTTTAGACATTTGCTATGAGTGGCAGCTATATGGTGAAATCACCTCTATAGAAAGATAGCCTGTATAGAATGGCCTTTGTAATGACCTACAAGTTTGACTGCATTTATACATAGAAACATTGGGAGGGTGAATGAAAGAGAGTAGGGGTGAGAGAAGAAAACAGATATAGAGGAAAAGAGAAAGAAAGAAAGAGAGAGAGAGAAAGAACGAGAAAAAAAGAGAGAGTGATAGACAGAGAGAGAGAAGGGAGAAAGATGGAGAGAGAGAGAGAGGAGCGATTTTTTTAAATATTTTTGGTAAAATATGTATCTGTGGACTACATGTATGTGATTTTGAAATGTGTGTTTCAGTACCTAGAGCGCAGCCGCTTTGATGAAAGTGCAGCCGTGTTTCAGGAAGAGTGTAAACATAGAGGCAAACTAATCTCGGAGCCAGCACTGGTGGATTGTTCTGAGAATAAGCTGTCAATCGAGGTAACCAATGAACTCGACTATTAATAATTCGTACATAAGTTAGTGAAAAAAAACTAAAAATGAAAAAAGGCCAATTTCCCTATTGGAATGCATGTTTATAACTGTATAAGGGTGGACTTGATCCTAGAGAAAATGTTTTGTCCAGACCAAGAAGCAATCCTAAGAAGAAGAGGTGCTTTAAGGTTAGGCCTAAAAAAAGACGTTTGTTTCCGCTAACCCGACCGGGTCCATTTTAAACCCCCGTGTCGAATCTTTTTATTGTGATCGGCCAAAAAAAACATTTTAAAAAAATATTTAAATTTTTTTTTAATCCCAACGTGATATCGATCGGTGAATGCATTGATTTGACTTTGTTTTAGGTGTGAGTGTAACGTTCGTGTGGTACGTTTCTGGAACGTTGCTACAACGTTATTCCTGACGTAACCAAACTACAACATTCCAGCAACGTTGTGGGAACGTTATGTGTTAGCTGGGTAAGTATCCGATGCTCGGACGAATATCCAAGATATATATGTCCTTTAAAAGGACGTGGATATTCGTCCGAGCATCGGATACTAGTTTAGGGGCGCTATTCGTCCGAGCATTGTTGCGCATCACTACGAAAGGTTATACACCATACTGTGACCATAGATTAATTTTGGTGCTATGACACGTATATATAAGATAGCCGAGTCGATTTAGAGTTAGTGTTAGTGTTAGAGATAGGGATAGGGGTAGGGTGACTGTTTGGACTTGCGTGTATATTTGGAATATTCACGTCATTAAATTATACATCTGACGGCATTTAGGTACTAAGTGCTATGACGGCATTTACTTGCCGCCGATTTTGCTCATTCTGGTATGTGAATGAATGAGGACTGGCCCCAAAACATATCACACAGGTTTTGACTTTTTTTTTAATTATGCAAATTAGGTAGATATTGGCAATTCCACTAGATGCATTTCAGTGTCTGCCTACGGTCAGCGATAACTCAAGAACCGTTTGACCCACATGTTTTAAATTGCATACAGTTGTTACTCATATGGGATAGATGTAAACGTTGAAAATGGCCATCTAGATTCATTCGATTTTGTTAAATTTTGGTATTATGAATGTGTAAGGCTAGCCCCAAAACAGTTGTTACTCCTATGGGAGAGATGACAACGTCCTATTACGTTTACTTCATCTAACTGGTTATCAACTCTACAATCATACCTATATACATGTAATATTGTGTTTTAGATTTTTCGTTACAGTAATTTGACTGGAATATTTTATTGTTTTTATTTGCGCGATATTCGAAAACCAAAATGGCTATCATTTAGGCGTTGCGCCATCTCTCGTCAAGATTTCAGACTTTCAGATCTGAAACATTTATTTTTGCATCAAAACTT